CCCCCCCCCCCCCCCGTCTCTTGGTGTGTACACATGTGTCTCTGTCTCTCCCTATGTTTCTCTTTACATCTCTCTGATTTCCTCTTTTTAAGTAATAAATATCTCCCTCTCCTCTAAATAATAAATGTTTAGCTTTATGTATCGCCTTATGTCCATTTACTCTGCCGTCCACCACATCCACCCGGCTGACTCTGCCGCTCGCCCGGGGACCCTGCACTGCTCTGGTGGCAGCCTCTGCCTGGCTCGCAGGCCGCCCGGGGCATCCCATCATCATATTATTTTTAAAGAACAATACTAGGGACTCTCAGTGGGGAGACAAACCACTCTTAAGGACAGGCCCCATGCCAAGTCAACAGCACAAACGAACTCAATAGCATCTTTGGGGGTTCTTTGTCTCATGTTAAGTCAAGACTGCTGCTGTTGCTGCTGCTGTTGTTGCTGCTGCTGTTGCTGCTTCCTTCTTCCTACTTCCTCCTCCTTCCTCTTTCTTCCTCCTCCCCCTCCTCCTCCTTTCTCTATTTCTTTTTCACCTCATAGGTCCTTTGTGTATATATTATGGCTTCTGGTTTTGTGTTTCTCTGGGATTCCTGTGTGTGCAACTGTGTACGGATTTGCATCTCTGTGATTTCTTGTGCTTTTTCTTTGGCTTTTTTTTTTCTTGGTCAGTGGCTTTGTCCTATTCCAATCCGTTTGTTTTTGTTTTCCCTTACTGTATTTTATTTTATTATTATTTCTAGATGCCTATTTGCTTTCTAAGGAGAGACAGACAGGGTGTGGAGTTGGATGGGAGGGGAAGTGAGGAGGAGCTGGTAAGACTAGGGGAGGGGAAGTCATAATCAGACTATATTGCATGGCAAAAAAACTATTTTCAATAAGAGAAAATGTTTTTTTAAAAATCAAATAAATAAAATGTATGGTAATTTACAGAAAGGGTAGACCCTTTTAATTTGAGAGATAAAGAAGGAAAGAGCAAGGAGGAGAAGGGGAAAGGGAAAGAAAGGAAGTCAGAAGGCAGAGGTCACAGCTGCCTCCCACCAACCTATTCCCACTTTGCACCCCAGTCTGCTCTACCTCTTCAGACCTTCAGGGTGAAGCACAGCAACGCAGGCAAAGCTGCTGCGAAAGACCGCAGACGAAGGACTCAGAACTCATTAGCAGCAAAAATCTATACCTGAAAGGTAAGTGCAATCTAAGGGTAATTTTAAACACAAATTGCTTCGCCTTTTCCACAGACTCCCGAAAGCATCAAAAGATTCTGAAACTACTCAAGGGCTTTCAGCTAAATGGAATTACACATGGCGACGTGACAACATCATCTGCCTCCAAAACAATCTACGGGGAGTTATCATTTCTAGCTCAGAATATGAGGGAAGTGGTCTTATGGACCAAACCTCTTAAGGTGCTGCCTGTGTGGGGTGAACACCATGATTTGGAGTCGTCACGGGGAACTGCACTGTATAGGGCCAAGGGAGGCAGACTGGACACCTGCCTGACCTCACACTGCCTCTGCTGCTTCATGCTAAGGGTTTTTTTGAAATAGCAGTGTCTCAGCCAGGCGGTAGTGGCACACGCCTTTAATCCCAGCACTTGGGAGGCAGAGGCAGGTGAATCGCTGACTTTCAGACCAGCCTGGTCTACAGAGCAAGTTCCAGGAAAACCAGGGCTACACAGAGAAAACAAAACAAAACAAAAAAAAAACAAAACAAAACAAAACAAAAAAATACAACAAAAACGGGTATCCCATGAGGCTCATCCTAGGTTTAAATTAGCTGGTACATATAAATATAGTAGTGTGCTGCCTGCCCTAGTCCCTATCTCCTTCCTAGCAGTATCCCAGACTGCCTTAAGGGAATAGTAATTTTGTTATTTCGGGTGGGATTGATTTTATTCTTACCTCCAAATCTCGACACCAAGTGCCTCAAATCAAACTCCTAAACAATGAGGGTTGTTTCAAGAAAGGGTCCGTGATTCTGAGACGCCATGAAGAGAGGAACAATCAGGCCTGAGGGTCGAAGAAACACCTTAGAAGAGGCACTGCTGCCAATAAATAGGGAGCGTTTGACTGCCGTGAACACAGGGGGTCTGCCGGAGAGACCCCTGTAAGAGCCGGAATCATGACAACAACGCTAAAGAAAGCACTTGGTGATTGCTGAAATCCCCAGACCCAGCCTCTCTGAGCTTAGACCTCCTGAGGAACGTCTCATTTAATATGAAGCATAAATTGGCTGTTATTTAAGCGACTCGGTTTAGTCTTCTACCGCCTGTGTGTAAGAAGCTTTACTTGATTTGTTTTCCCGAGGTGACTAATTCTTTGCATTTCCTCCTCTGCACAATGACCATATTCAAGGCATTCTCTACATTAACAGGATTAGCTATGAAGAATTGAAAGAAAATGAAAGCGAGCCAGCCTTCTGCTGCTTCCTGTCCTTAACTGTTTCAACCCAGCCGTTTCCAAGGTGCCTTCCAAAATTAACAATAAGGTATGTGGATGGTTGAGGCCTTCGGGATAAGAGAGACACAAAAATTAAGTCAAATGCATGAAACTCAGAGTTCAAAATACGTGTGTGCACTTGTATAGCATGTGTGTGCTTATAACGTGTGTGTATAACGTGTGTATGGGTGTATGGGTGTATGTGTGTTCCAGTGTGTGTGTATAATGTATGTATGTATATATGTAGTGTGTGTGTGTGTGTGTGTGTGTGTGTGACTAGTCAGGAAAAGCCAAGAAATATATCTGATAATGATACAGTTTCTCATTTTGAAAAGGTTCCACTATGGATGTTTCTGGGAGTCACAATGAGCTACTGAAAACCCAAGGCACGCTGACCACACAGCACATCGAGCAGATGCCACCACCCTTGCAGACCTGAAATGACCACCACTTAAGCAACGCCTGCTCAAACCACAACTGCAACCATTTATTAAGAGCCCGCTACCCACGCAGCTCTGAGCAAGGACCTCAGAGCACTCACGCGTGCTAAGGACTGACCCTTCGCTTCTATTTATATAGGAGGAGATAGGGTCTGGCAACTTGCCTGAGGCTGGGCAGGTCACAAGTGACAGTACCAAGATTAGAGCCCTCACCAAATATGTAAAAGACCCATTGGCAATGAGACTCACATCACATGAGTGTCGGTGAAGTGCTAAAGGTCGTGTGATTACAAGATTCAAAGGGCAAAGGCGATGATGTTTCTGAAGTGGGAGATGGTGTGATATAGAAGGGGGAGGAAGTAGAAGCTTATACAGCTCTGCCATGATCAAGCCAAATGACCTTAGCAAAGGGTCCATTCATGCTTTCGTTCAATGAATACTCGTTAAGTATCTCGTCTGTGCTTAGCATTCATTCAACAACAGTGAGCAAAGCAAGCATGGGTCTCCTTGTGGTACTTTCAAGCCCTCGAGGATCTTAGAAGGCAGAGACTATCTCACCTAATTCTCCCTTTGACACAGGGAAGGACCGAGACCCTTTCTTGCAGGGTGGGACTTGCCCAAAGTTACGCGATGAGTTGTTCAGTGGCAGAGCTGAACCGAAAGTCGGTTCTCGTCTATATTTCTCTGTTTAGTTTTTGTCTGGACGGTGAGAGCTGAGTAGTCAAATCTCCCACTAGCAGTGTGTGAGGGGGGCAGATGGGGATGGAGACAGGAGGGATCGGGGTGAGGGTGGAAGGAGAGTGAACTGGGAGAGGTGGACAGAATCGCAGGGCACCCAGGGAATGGTGTAAAGACCAAATGCAGTGGAAACTTCCTGGAATGTATGAGGATGGCCACAGTGAAGCCCCCTAGCAATGGGGAATGCAGAGCCTGAACTGGCCATCTTCTCCAACCAGGCAAGACTTCCAGTGGTGGAGCTGGGACATCAACCCAGCCACGAAATCTTCAACCTGCAATTTGTCCTGCCTGCAAGGTGTGCTGAGGTAATGGTGACACAGAACTTGTGGTACCGGCCAGCCAACGGCTAGTCCAACTTGAGGGCCAAGAACAGACAGAAGCCCTTGCCTGACACTGTCTGTATAGCCAGGACCCAGAGACTGAATAGCAGAGAGACCTGGGATAGAACTAAGCATGACTAGCCAAAGGAGGAAAAAATGTCGATGAAATGAATCCTAATGATATTCTGCTATAATCCTAGATTAGTGCCTAGCCCATCATCAGAGAGGCTTCATCTAGCAACTGATGGGAGCAGATGCAGAGATCCACAGCCAAACATTGGGCAGAGCTCAGGGAACCTGGCAGAAATGGGGGAGGAAGGATTATAGGAGCCAGAGGGGTCAAGGATACCACTAGAGCACAACCGATAGAATCAGATAAACAGGGCTCATAGGGGCTCACAGAGACTGTACCAACAATCACAGAGTCTGTATGGGTCCAAGCTAGGATCTCTGCATAAACGTTATGGTTACATAGCTTGGTGTTTTTGTGGGACTCCTAACAGTGGAGGTGGCATGGGGGGAGGGGGACCTACCACTCTCTTTCCTGAGATTAGGATCCTTTCCCTCCTACTGGGTTACCTCACCCAGCCTTGATAGGAGGGCTTGTACCTTGTCTTTTTGTAACTTTTATGCTGCATTTGGCTAATATCCCTGGGAGGCCTGCTCTTTTCTGGAGGCAAAGGGAGGAGAAGTGGATCTGTGGATGTCAGGGGATGGGAGGAGTGGAGGGAAAAGAAACTGGTCGGGCTGGAACATATGAGAAAGAATAAAAAGAAAGACAGGGAGTTATCTGTTGGGTTCATCACACTGTTTCAGACATGGGGGTTTCACTGTCTGATTCAGCTTGGATAACTGATATTGGGGCCCTGAAGTCAGCCTTGAAGGTTCATTGTGGTGAATAAATTGACCATGCTGGCAGTCAGCAGTGCACACACACAGTGGCACTAGAGACTGCTGAAGTGTGCTCCAAGTGAAGGGGTTGTTAAGTGAACTTGGCATGCCAATAGAATGCACGCTTTTGCTACAAAAAACAAAATGAGAGCCACTGTCGGATGTATTGTCTTGGCCCGCTAGATAACAGGGGTGTTTTGTTGACCATCAGGGGAAAGCAAGCTGCAGACTAATGAGTTAATCCCGTGTCCTGTTCTTTGCTTTCAGAAGAAAATTTAGATGTGCTTAGAAGTCCTGTATAGCCATGTTTGACCACAGAGGTACAGCTCAGTGTACAAACGGTCCAACTGTTTGAGGTGCAGCTCAGGGGTAGAGTGTGTGTCGAGAATTGTAAAACCCTGCACTCGATCTCTAGAACCATGGGAAAATTAAAATTAAATAACTTTTTAAAAAGGAAACAAAAAGTTTCTAAAGTAAATGGTGTCCTACTCTCTCTAGACTGTAGACTGAACACTACGGCTCCCAGTGGCCGTCAATTCCCTGTGTACTTTGCCAACTCCAAGTCTTGGCTGTCATGCTAGCAGTTCAGGTGCCATAACAGACTACTACAAGGTGGCGCTCAGCATGGTATAAACACAGTAAACCATTTGTTCCGTGTGTCCCGAGGATAGAGTCTGAGATCAGAGTGAAGGCATATCAGGTTAAAAGATGGATAGATGGATACTTTCTTGCTGAACTGGGGCATTGGGGAGGAGTGGAGATAGAGAAGGGGGGAAGGTGTCTCATGACTCAATTACCTTCCAATGACTCCCCCCCATTTTGATACCATCACATTGGGGTTTAAGCTGTAAACTTTTGAGTCTGGGGGAGAAGCAACAACTCAGTCCTTAGCTCCTACCACATCACAGACTATGCTCTTTCCAAAGCTGTGCTTATTTGCACAGTTGCTTACAGGTGATCATTTAAGTAGCTTCTGGCCTTTTATCAAGTAAACAATGTTAAGAATTATATTTTGTGAGACGGGGTACCATGTAGCTCAAGCTGGCCTAGAATTCACTGTGTAGTCAAAGATGACCTTGACTTTGATCCTCCTGCCTCCAGCTTCCAAGTGCTGGGTTTACACACACGTGCCACCACACTGCTATATTACGGTGTGCTGGGCATTAAACCCAAGGCTTCACGCATGCTAGATAGGGACTGCACTGAGCTATGTCTCCAGCCCCAAAATAACCTTTGGGGTTGTTCTTTCAAAGGTATTCTTCTACTCAGAAACCTCTAGCAGAACCAAGCTTTACTCGAAATAAGGCTAAAACTCTCTCCTCCTCCCATCCCAGTAGAATCTGCCCCCTCACTTTACCCTTCAACTCTGGGACCACATATTTACTACCAGCCTTTGCTATCTCCACTGGGTGACAAAGATTCCCGTGCTGGTCCTCAGAGCTCAGCTCCCAGCTCTGTCCACACTCACAACCACATCTCCCACAAGGACTTCCCCCAGCTGTCCTTCCCGACGGCCAATCCACACTCTAAACACCACACACTCCAGGGCCGCGATCCCATGCCACGCCATTTTTAGTGTTTAGCATCTTCTAGCATGCTATCTGAACTTCTTATTCCGTATATCAGTTTTTAACCCTTCTTCACCCACTAAAATGGAAGCTCCTTGCAGGTCAGGATTTGTATCTGACTTATGCATTGATGGATCTCCAGTTCCTAGAATATAGTAATTAGCACATCATAGACACTAAATAAATATTGGCTGAGCAGGATTGAATCTCACATGTATGTAAGTGTACTGTATTACATACACTGTTTTAACAATCAAAGTAAATTAAGAAGAAGGAAAGGCACCGTGCGTCTGGAGAGGGAGCAGCGGAGCTACAGCTAGAGCCAGCTGCCTCTCAAAGCAAGATCTTTGTGGGTAACCACCGTGCAGACTTGTAACACACATATATTTACGAGGTTCTTTTGACAGTGAGTGGTACCACTTCAGATAGCTCCTTGCTCAGTCAGTGGCTGGGATCTCTTTCAGACATGCCAACGGGTTTGAAAGGATGTGCTTGACCAGCATCTAAGCAGTCCTTAATGGCCATCCTCAGCTCTACTAGCATGGTCATCGAGCTGTCTGGATAATTGTCAAATGTCGGCACACATCAGGCCCCAAGGCCCACTTACTGTTGTCTGCCACAGTGCCTGTCAGAAGGTCACAAATCAGAGTTCCATCTTAAGTGATGTATCCTTCCGGGACAGCTGACACTTAGCCTGCCATTGATCTGAGAGGCCATCTGTATCTCCTCTATGCATTTGTACTTGGGAAATAAAAGCAAAGAATTGGGTCTGCATTTCTTTATGGGTGAATGTGCAGTTTCTCATCTACTTTGAAAGACACCGGCCTGAGAAGGGGTGTAGACACCTCTGGGTCCATTCGCTCCCTCTAGAATGCACAGTGGCAACAAGGACTGTAAATTCAGGCTTAATCCCTCCGTGTATGGACCCTGGTCACTCCTACATGCAGTCACCAGTTCTTGATGGTCTAAGTAGCAGGTGCTTGCACCAGGTCCCCCCAAACGTGGGGAACACCAAAAAGTGGTTTGTTTGAAAAGAAATAGTTGTTGCAACAAATTGAATTGATCTGTATAAGTGGATAACTGAGCTTTTGGGTTTCCTCCAATTAAATATATGGTTCTTATTTCTAAAGAGAGTACCACAATCCTTCCATTCAAACTTTCTAATCTAATCCCACAAATATGGAGGCTCCTGACCACCTCCCTCCAATTGTTTGTTCAAAACTTTTCCTAAACACCTTGGCTTCCTTATTTAAATAAGGAAATAATTGCTCAGATCTGCCCTCAAGAGCCCACATTTACGTATAAGGGAATACAGAGGTATATAAGTATGTGAACGGTGCCCTTTATGAAATTATTTTTAATACTATCTATCGACACTTCACTCACTCAGTCGCAAGCCTAGAAGCTTTATGGAATACTAGGCTGCCCTTAAAGTAAATATAGTAGGTTGACAACGTGTTAAATGAAGCCATCTCCAGAATCCATTTCCATGTGAAAAAAAAAAAGCAACTCAAAAAAGTAATGTGTACGAGTCTCCCATGCGGGTTTGTTCAAAGAAATCTGTATTCACATATGCTGATTTATACATGAAATTTTTCCAGAAGGATAAACAAGAAACCATTCCTAGTAGCTGCCTCCAGGGATTAGACTGGGCAGCCTGAGTCCAGGGAAGGAAACTTTAATTTCTCTCTATATACACTGTGCTGTCTTTTTATCATCCAAGGACAGACCTTCTATTTGACCACAGACAGAAATTATGGACCATGTCGTTATCAAAATATTAGTGACAGAAGATAATGGAAGGCCAATTAGGAACCAGTAACTCCCTGAAGGCTGACGAGCATCCACTATGTGTGTGCACTGGCCATGCCGAGATGCCTGAGACTGGCTCCTTTATTCAGGGTTAGGGTACCACAGCTAGCATCTCAAGCCCCAGAAGGAAGGAGAATAGATTCAAAGTGCCCCAGGGACCACCACTTCCTTGATGGTGACTGAAGGAAAATTGGATCACAAAAATATTCTAAGAGCTTCAGCCCCATAAAAAAACAGCTATGAACTAAAAGAAGTTAGCAAGGATACAGACATAATATATGTATATATGCATATATATGAAGATTTAAGAGTAAATGAGTTCCATATATGCAAAGTAATCTCGAATTGTTCATAATAAAAGTCTGTAGGTGGAGAAAGGATGAGGAGGCGTGCAGGGCAGGGAAGGGGAGATGGAGAAGTAGGGAGGGGAGAGAAAGAAAGAGAGAGAACACAAATACTGAAAAATCTTTCAAGTTGGTGAATCTGGCTTAAAAAGTATAGAGATGTCATCACTCCTGGTGCTAGGGATGTGGCTCGGTGGTAAAGTGTTTGTGTAGTGAGTACAAAGGTGCCACACCTGAACCTTAGCAAAGGGATAAAACAGGAGAAGACAAGGAAGAAAGGGGTGAGGAGGAAGAAGAAACAAACTTACAGAAAACAACGTGGTTTTGGAGAGCTCACAAACGTGGTCCTGTGGGTGAGTGAGAGCTCAGCCCTAAGCAGAGCTGCATCACCCTCTCTAGGCTTGTGAATATGATGTAAGGGAAAGAAACAAAGAGCCATGAGATAAGGAATGGGGCAGCAAAATGCGATGCACTCTGGACATGATATAGTCATTGCAATCAGGACCTCGCAGCGGCTGTGGTTGCCTGCACTGGGTCTTAGTGAGGCTGGACACCTGTCAACAGCAGGTGGAGGTGAGGGGAGGTGAGAGGGGTTTGTCAGCCACACCCTTCCTTGATGAACTTCTAATTGATTCTGGGAAAGGGGAGTCATTCTTTTCAACTCAGTACCCACTGGTGCTCCCAAAAGGCTCTTCTGAACAGTTCCATTCCCGGGGTCATTCAGGTGGTCTTGGTTAGGCTCAGCGTGTCACAAAACAAAACAAAAAAGACAGGAATGTGGGAAAGGGACATCGGCTGGGGTGGAATGGGGGTAAGAGAAGATGGGGGTGATGTACCAGGCTTTTTCTTTTGAGCCACCAACCAGCTCCCAAATCATGATACAAAGACTTCTTATTAGTTATTAATGCTTGGCCTAGCTTAGGCTCATTTCTGGCTAGTTCTTTTAACCTGTTTCTCTTTGTTTACCTTTTTGTCTCAGGGCTTTTTACCTTCTTTTCCTTCTTCCTGTAGATCTTACTTTCACTGCTTCTCACGTATGGTCGGCTGGCCGTTGCCTAGATTCTTGCTCTGCGCATGTCCCTCTTTCTCTTCTCCTTCTGCTCTCTTCTTGCGTTCCTTTCTGAGCCTAAATTTCTCCTCCTATTTATTCTCTTGGGCTGCCAGCCATGCCTATCCTTTCTCTGCCTAGCTATTGGCCAGTCACCTCTTTATTAGACCAATCAGGTGCCTTAAGCAGGCAGGGGGAAACAAATGCAACATATCTTTATGTAATTAACCACACATTCTTCCATCATTGAACAAATGCAGCATAAAAAAAAGTAACACCCCTTTACAGTTATAAAGTAATATTCCACAGCATAAACAAATATAACACATCTTCGCCTGGTTAAAATAATATT